GTTTGCCTCCTTCATGTACGCTCTTGGCCCTCAGTGAGTTCCGAGGCTGTACTGAATTATTTCGGGACGATGATACAAGGCTGGGCTGACCTCTCTGAGTTTAGCCCTACTGCCTTTTGCGGGGCTTCCCTGCTAAATACTTGGTCCCTCTGGGCCCCCTTGGGTGCTTAAAACAAGTTCAAGTATTAGTCATTCCTCTAGCATAGTATGGCGGGATTGTACTGGTTCCCCAAAGCATCTTAAACAGATGCAGTACTCATTCCGTATCTCAGGGAACTGAGGTTACGTTAGTAACCGAGTACGTTTGATTATATTAGATGTGTATTTTAAATAGGCTACATCCAGTATAACAAAATTGTTTAAATTATGCTTATGTATTACATATATTACACATAATCAGGATGCAGCTCAATTCATGGAGCTCTCTCCTAATGAGCTGATGATCTGAATTAGGTGTGTTAGATAAGAGAGAGACAGCACAGTTACGTCTGCAAGATGTCTTTTAAAGATTGCTTCATCTGGAAAGCATCTGCTGTGAACAAACATCTGATAGACGTCTCTTGAGATGTCAGTTTTACATGCATTCTAAATCATAAACATCTTAAAGACATCTCTTTGACATCTGATAGGAAACAGATGAGCAAACACTCTAAAAAATGTCTTGCAGATGTAAATGCAGACATCAAATAGACGTCTCCGTGATGGACGTGTGCTATCAGGGGAAATTGATTCAGACAGGACTAACATCTCTGTGTTTATTAAAGAGGTGGGAGGGTCTGTTTTGTACACTCAGAAAAAAAGGTACAAAAGCTGTCACTGGGGCGGTACCTTTTCAAAAGGCACACCTTTGTACCTAAGAGTCCATATTGGTACCTTAAAGGTACATATTAGTACCTAAAAGATACAAAAGTGTACCTTTTGAAAAGGTACCGCCCCAGTGACAGCTTTTGTACCTTTTTTTTCTGAGAGTGTTGCAGAGATCATGTGCTCTGAATGCGTGCATTGCGTATAATACAGTAGCCAGCCTTAACAGTTTACGCGATCTGATTCTTGATTTAATTGTTTTATTTCTTCGTCGGAAGGCAAACACATCAACATCCATAATGAATGGCACACCAAGCAGAAAATGTGGGCGGTAGTAAGAGCGTCCACGTTGGCCAAAACACACAAGGAAAAGCTTTGTGAAAAAAAATATTGTTGGCAATCACAGACATTCGTATTCGGACGGGATTAGATTTCTCAGAGGATCACGGAGTAATTTGCTCTGGAATTTTTACAGAGGTTGTGTGAGAAAAACAAGACTTCAAAAAGTGCATCGGTGAAACGCAAATTTCTCTAATGACACCCTGGAAAACTAATCCCGTCCGAAAAGGGCTTTTCATACAGTTTTTCTACAGACCAGATCCGGCTGACTATATAAGGATGAGACAGACAGACAAATATGTGACCCTGGAGCACAAAAGCAGTGTTAAGTCGCTGGGGTATATTTGTAGCAATAGCCAACAATTGTATGGGTCAAAATTATCGATTTTTCTTTTATGCCAAAAATCATTAGGATATTAAGTAAAGATCATGTTCCATGAAGATATTTTGTAAATTTACTACTGTAAATATATCAAAACTTCAGTTTTGATTAGTAATATGCAGATAATAGATTCCAGATATTAAAATAGTTGTATCTCGGCCAAATATTGTCCTATCCCGACAAACCATACATCAATGGAAAGCGTATTTATTCAGCTTTCAGATGATGTATAAATCTCAATTTCGAAAAAGTGACATTTAAGACTGGTTTTGTGCTCCAGGGTCACATATAACTGTAGATGCCATTCCTCTTGATATAAAAAGCACATCAGGTGTTATGGGAAATGTTCTCAGTTATGTTTGACCTCATTAATGCAATGCAGTGTCAAACTCAATTCCTGGAGGGCCCGATACCATGTAGTTTTCAAATAAGCCTGAAGGACTTGATTAGTTGGATCAAGCGTGTTTAATTAGGGTTGAATCTAAACTCTGCAGGGCTCCGGCCCTCCAGGAATTAAGTTTGACACCCCTGCTTTAAGATATTTGAATTATAGAAATGTGAAACTGTTTTATGCAGTGGTGGAGGTAAAGAATCACAACTTTTTCCAGTCGTGTATTTTGTGTCATTGAGGATTTTTTAAAAATACTGTGTAAAAATCTCATCTCGTTCTCATTTTGAAATCTCGTGTCGTGTCGTGTCTCTTCTCGTGAGCTAAGTGTCTCAGTAACACTTTATAATTAATACATCAATAACAAACATTATATAATGCTTAACAGATCATTTAATGTAATTTGCCAGAAGAGTCAGGGGTTCTGTGAATTTAGTTTGAAGGTTTGGATTAGTGTTTAAGGTTTTGAGAAAATGAGTAATGGTTTCGAGAAATGTGTTTTAGCGATTCAGAAAAACTGTAAATTGAACATTACAGACCCCTTCAGACTGCTCATGAACTTCTCAGTCTAGTAAACACTTCTCTCTAGTGGTGAAATCTAAAGCATCAGGCATTGCACAGAATCTCTGAATTGCCGGTTAACTTTGCTAGACTTGTTTAAATGTGCATATTTCAATTTGATGTATTTATAGTAGGAAATCATGATATTTACAAGGCCCCCCAAAAAAGTTGGGTCTTTCTCAGGAAGTGTAACTTGGAAGTGTTTTGTGTCTTCATGACTATTAACAGAATAGTAAATTTAGTCATGTTAATATATAGATTTGACCACTCCACTGAGTGACACTGCTTTTGTTTACTCTCCTAAAATTATATCCGTGTGACGCTTTTAGAATAAGATGGTGCTTTTGGTTTTTCGCCTGGGTTTAGAAACGATAAATAAGTGTATATTTAGAATCAGGGTAATGTCTGCAGAAACAGCCTTTGAAAATCATAATTGAGTTGTGGCTATTTGTGTCTTGAGGTGTGAAAAATTGATTTCCTGGCAGTTCAGCAGTAACCTTTTCTAATGGAAGGCTGCAACAATGTATCGCTCATAG